GCTGATTCATTTCATGGTCATCGACTCAGGTCTTGCACTCCTGTTCACATACAAACCCCCTTTCTGGGTGCATATCAGCCAGGGTTCTCAACGGCTCCAAAGGCAACACAGTCGGAGCAGATCCTGGAAGCCCAGTGTTCTTGGCACACAAGATGCTGGACTGACGGTCCCATTCAGGCCACACGTCTCACAGACCCAGGAACCCACACACACAGAGGCCATCAGTGACCTAGGCACAAACAGCCCCCAGTGAGCCCCAGCCAGCCCCTTCCAAAGCAAAAAAGCTAGGATTGAGATTCCCAACAAGCAAGGTGACCAAGCCGAGCTAGCCACGGGCCTGGGAGACTCCGCACATGCATCACAGCCAGGGCCTGAAAGCACCAGGGCTGACTTCCAGTGCCGGACACTGTCATCACGCTGACCTCAGGGGAAGTGGCTCCATCCGCACAGCCAAGCATGCTCTTTTTTAAGATACTCACTGCCAGCTGGGCGAACTGGATTGCTGCTATGGGCCAACCCTGAGCCTCCCCTAAGTTCAGGGTTTAGGGCTGGGGATGCAGAGAAGCATCAGGAATGGTGCTCATTTATTCAGTCAACAAACTCTTCCTGGAGCCCGAGACACACAAATGGAGCAGGTGTGTCCCTGGGCCAGCGCAAGAGGTCTGCAGATGGGCAGCACATGGAGCGGCTGACCTCTGCTAGAAGTGGACTTGAGGAAAAGGGCTCCCAGGGAGACCCTGAGGGGGTGAGAACTGAGCAGGTACCTGCAGGCCAGACAGGGTAGGGAGAAGGGTGTCTGTGAGGGGTGGCCAGGGGACACAGCGAGGGTCCCTGAGACAGCCTTTCACAGGAGCACAGCTCCTTTCTGGTGCTTGCTGCACGACACATTAGACATTCCCCATGTCCGTCACCTCCTGCTGCTTACCGAGACAGCACCTCATTTACATTCAACCAGGGCCTTAAGTTCAAGGCAGGCTGCAGCAGTTCAAAGTTGGGCATCAAGAAGTTCTGGTCTGACACATTAATACTATGGCTGGTTTTTAGGAACATCACTAAAACTGGCCTGGGGACTGTGTGCACATGGGGGCACCCAGCCCCTTCCCTGCTCACAATGGAGCCAAGGGACCCAGCTAGCTCCTCTCTGAGGAGCCCACCACTCAGGTCTGCTCCACAAACGGGGCCTGCCGCAGCACCAGCCACACCTCCGGGGGTCTGCTCCAGATGGGAGCACCCAGTTTCCCCAGACTTCCATTACCAGGCTCCCTCCCCCATCCCCACCTTCAGCACACACATGTGGTACCCTGACCTGCAGAGAGAAGCTTTCTAGCTGACAGCCCCTCCCATGCCCACATCTCCCCGTTGCTGGGTTCTGGGAAGATGTGAACCACTCCGGGGGCCTCCCCGTTTGGGTTTCTCAAGCCCTGAAGCAAACTGCACTCCATCCCTGCAACCTCCACCCTGGGCCCACTCCCAACTCCTATTTCACCCGGCAGGGCTGTGCATGACTTAAAACCAAGGTGACTGCCCGGCATAGCCTCCGCTCCTTCTCCTGTCTCAGCCTTGCCCCCACGGCTGCTCTACAGCCCCCAGAATCTCCCTCCAGGGCCCCTATACTTGAGCCTAAATGTCAGACCCCCTGATCTCACTCGCCTTCCTGTCCAGGAGATGGCATGACACATGATGGCCATCATCTCTCTCAATGTCCTCAGGACCCCTTTGCTCGCAGCAACCCTTGTACAGCTGTAACTCTAGGTTATGTGACCACCAGACTTCTCCAGGGAGAGTCAGGTGGCTGAAACAGGCCCACAGCACAGATGGGGCTGTCAGCCACGCATGGCCCTTCACTGCATTCCTTCCTCCCCACAGGCCCAGCTCTTTGGAGGGGCTGGCTCAACTCTGTTCCACTCCCTGAAAGACCTGCCTCTCCACCCCTCCACTCTGCAAACCCGGCCTCTGACTTCAGGGAGAAGACAGCAAGCCGAGAATCTTCTCCACTGCGCTTTGGCTTTTGTCCCCAAACCTGAGCATTCTCGCCTCTCTAGGGGCACCTTGAACTCTGTCCCTCCATTTCCACCAAACAGGAGTTCCTTCCTCTGAAAGTGAAATGTGCCCACAGCCCACCTGCTGCATATCTCCAACGCTCCACCCTGCTCCCCTTCACCATCTGCTGCCTCTATAGCATCACCTCCCACTGCCTCTGACTTTTCAAGCCCTGCCTCTGGCCTCCTGTCCTGCTCCCCTCTGAAGCCACTGCAAGCCCTATAGCCAAACCAGTGGGAAGACTCAGCACTGAGCAGCACTTGCTACCTCTGTCCCAGCTTCCCATTTGGCACACTCACCCCTTGCCTTTCTCCTGCCTCCGTCATCACACCCTCTCACTCTCCCCTTCAGGCTCCTCTTTCTCCACTGTGCGGGGCATGTGTATTTAGGCAAAGCTCTCGTCTCTTCTCATTCTCACGTATCCTCCCTGGGAGCCTGTAGCTCCTCGCTCAGGTCCCCTTCCCTGCACATGCAGCTGCCATCTGAATGCATTGCCCCTAAGCTGGTGCTGGGCATAATTCCCCATGGACACCAGAGGCGTTGTACCCTCATCTCCAAGGACTCCCTTGCCCACGTCAGAAACTTCTAGCAGTTATCCATTGAGTCCAGTGGTGAGCTGGTGTGAGTCTCCAGCAATGAAGAGACAATGAGTCCTGTCCCAGGAAGGGTGCCATGTGGCTGGAGAGGGGACAGGTAGTGCGGGAATGAAGCCAGCCTTAACACCTTGAGAGGACAAGTCTCTGACTGTGAAGGATGCTGTTGAGCAAGGTTCCCTGCCACTGAGAAGGCCCGTGATGGTGGATATAGCACACTTGGAACACCAGGAAGGTGTCCCTGGTGGGACTAGGAGGTGGGGAGGAACAGGGCAGCGAGCCAACACAAGCGTAAGATGAGAAGATCTGGTCTGCATATGCCAACACACAAAGCAGCAGCCAATGGGTGTGACTGGCAGGAGGAAGACGCCATGCCAAGCTTGTGAGTCTCCCCCCGGGATGTCAACTGGATGTGTGATCCAGCATTATGGATACCACCTTGGGAAGCACTGCTGTGTTTGCAGGGCTGGTGGCAGACGGCAGTGCCCAGGAGAGGAACAGAAGAGACAGGCCATTCTCACCATCCAGCCCTCTGGCTGCTGCCAACAAGACAGGTGCAGAAGCTGCTCAGCGCAGCAGCAGAGGAAGCACCTGAGTTGAAGACCCTGGACGAAGAGCACTGGGAAAAGGCAGAGGTAGAAAACAGCACCCCTCCAGCTGCTGTCACTAACGGGCTCTGAGGGGCATTGACTGCCCCCAAGGAGGAAAGGGAGATCAGACAAAGGCACAAAAATCAAGGGGCAGGGGGAGAAAGTCACCACCAATCACATCGATACTTCCCCACAACCATGGAGTTGGTAAGACATGGAAAGTTCTTAACGTCTGGCTGACATACAGGGTTTGCTACCTCATCAGCTTTGCCTGGAGAGCCAGGCAGAAGTGGGGGCGTTTACAGCCACCTGTGGTGCTCCTGGCAGGATGTTCACAGTCCCTGCCCAGTCCTCACTCCCGGGGCCTGCTTTGCCTGAAGGGGTAGTTCCTGGCACTATCTCCAGCTCTCCTGCTTTGGAGAATGCCAACTCATCTTGAACTTCACTCCCGTGCCCCTAGGCCTGATGCTGTGTCCAGGGAGATCATGCAACCTCATGGCCTGAAGGGCCCAACAGCAACCATTCCTCCAGTAGCACAACAGCATGTCAGGTCTGTTGATCATGTGATTCAGCCCACCAAGCTCCTTCCCAGGGGGAAGGAAGCACACGGACAGCCAGAAGGTCTGAAGCAGCTGAGGAAGTCCAGGACCGACCTGCCCCAGCCCCACTTCACCCCTGGTTGCCATGAAGATCCCACTTGGCCCTTCTCGACTCAGCCCCAAAGCTTGCCAATGCCCAAGCCAGGGACACTACCTCATCTCCATCTGCTCCCAGGCTCCCTCTCTCCACCGCCCCAGGCTACCCGATGCCAGTGCTATTTCCTTAGCTTCTCCCAAACGGACCCCCTTCAGTTCGATTTTTCTGATGCATCTAAGACAGCCTCTCTCAACTGCTCCTATCACCTTAGGAGTGTTTTCTCCCCAATTACCTCTAAGCTCAAACACATTTCACTTGCTTGGGAATGTCAGTCACAGTGCTTCCCTGCCAGGCTACCATCCCACCTACCTCTGTACCATGTAGTGCCCCCAACACTCAGACTTCCCCCACCCCGAGTCCCCGTCATTGAATGGCCCCATTCCTTAGGACCGGGTCATCCTCCCACCGGGCGCTATTTTCCAACTACTTCAGCAACCATCAAACTTATTTCCCAAAGCCTAGCCCCTGTGACCCTCCTCTGCAAAGGTGGCCTGACTCCCTCCCTGGATCCCTTCCCGGCCTGTGGGTCTTTCCAAACTCCACAGAGGACAAGAAGGAATTCTGCTTATCCATGAGCAACTTGGCCTCCCCCAAAGACCTCTTAAGGTTGGTCACTAGAGGGTCTGGCCAGGTGCATGGCCATCGAACAAGACTGGAGACTATCTTGGTTAGGCTAGCTCCAGGTCTAAAAGCCCTAGCCCTGCCAAGCTGCATCCCCCTCACTCTTACCTTTGCCACTTTGCTTCCTTCTGGGCATCATGAGAGCTCTGATCCCCTGCAGTGCAACTAGCCCCAAGTATTAGCCCCTAGCTAATACTGCCCCATGCCCACACCATCATGACACTAACAACCTGAGGCCAGCTCTGCAAGAAGACTGCCTCAGGAGATGATTCTACACAGGGCACCAGGGAGTAGTGCAGCTTCCAGTCCCTGGGGTTGCCTTTCCTGGGTAGACAATGCTCAGAGCCAGTCCCCTCTCTAGTCTGCCCCCAGCAGGCACTGCTCTAGCTTGGTTCTGCCTCCCCTGCCAACCTTTAGGCCCAGGGCCTCAGAGGACCAAAAAACAGAAGGTGTGACTCACCCCTGAGGTGGGATTGGCTGTCCAGCCCAGCTCCGCAGTAGCCGTTCTGGTGTCCATTAATGTCTCTGCAGATCAAACAGATAGAAGCTGATGAGTTGGAGGGATTGGCAGACAGAAGTCCGTATGCTCACCAAGTGATGGACGACAGTAAACACCGGTGCTAAGAGGATCCGTTGGCATCCAAGAGGGAAGGAGGTGAGATCGCACAGCTCTGGACAGGACTGGATACAGCCACTGAACCACCTGTGAGTGCAAAGCCATCTGCATCCTCAGCACATGACCCCAGAGCCACACTGACGTCGTGTCCCAGGCCTCCTAGGATCACCTCTCTCTGGCCCGCTTCTATTGACCAGGCTGCTTGGCAGCCTCCTCCCTCATCAGATACACCACTCTGCCTCCCCTTCAGGCCTCTGTGCCGGTACCCTGGGGATACCACAGCAACTCCAACCCCAAGCCTGCTCCCAAGGCGTGCCCATCCCACTCCCACCCTCTTCCCCAAGGCTCTGCTGGGGACTCCCTCAGCCTTGGCCAAAGCTCACCCAAAGCACCAGGAGCACCTGAACCCAGCAGCAAGCTGTTACCAGCTACAAAACGCCAACGATTACAGCAGCCAGCCTCCTGGCTACCAAGGTCCCTTCGACCACAATGAGTTGTAGTTAGAGAAGGCAGGTTGGTAACATTTAGTGCATGTTTGCACTCTAAAGATCATCATCACAATCAAAATAATAAACATATTGACCAATCCCCAATCCTCTGGCCCTTCCCTCCCTCCTTCCTGATACAAGTTGACTCCATCCTTGTCCTCAGGCAACAGCCTATCTGCTTTTTCTCACTGCAGACTAAATGACGTTTTCTAGAATCCCATATAAATGGGATCCGGTAGTGTGTACTATTTTAAATTTGGCCTTTGCCACTCAGCGTAATTGCTTTAAGATTCACCCAGGTTCCTATGAATACCAGTAATTTCTTTCATTTTCATGGCTGTATGGTATCCCAACGCATGAAAATACCAGTTCAGCCAACCCATTCGCCTGTTACTGGCCATCACATGAGACTGTATGGTGGTTCCAGACCTTGCATATCTTCAGCAGCGTCTGGCATGGCTGTTCATCACTGGTTCTAGCTGTCTTCCTAGGGGTGCAACATCGTGGCTCTGATGTCTGCCTTTTGACTAAAGAATGCTGTTGAGCCTCTTATCGTGTGACCATTCACCATTCGTACATGTCCTCTGTAGAGCGTCTGTGGTTTTTCTCTCAGTGTAAGCTATATAGCTTACACCCCTGAGTACTGAGAGTTCTCTACTCTGAGCCCAACTGCTGTTTCAGGCTAAGCCTCCGCCTATAAAGCCAGTATCCCACATGAATACTGGTTTGTGTCCCAGCTGCTCCCTGCTAAGGTGCCTGGAAAGGCAGCAGGAGACCCAAATGTTTGGGCCACTGCCACTCACATTGGAGACTCCGAGGGAGTGCCAAGCTTTTGGCTTCAGCTTGGCTCTGCACAGGCCATGGCAGTCGCTTAGGGAGTGAATCAGTAAAGACCTCTCTCTCTCTCTTTAACACTGGTCTTTCTGGTATCTTTTTTTTTTAAAGATTTATTTATTTTAATTAGAATGGCAAATTTACAGAGAGAAGGAGAGACAGAGAAAAATGTCTTCCATCTGCTGGTTCACTCCCCAAAGGGTCACAACAACTGGAGCTGGACTGACCTGAAGCCAGGAGCCAGGAGCTTCTTCCGGGTCTCCCACATGGGTGTGTAGGATCCCAAGGACTTGGTCATCCTCCACTGCTTTCCCAGGCCATAAGCAGGGAACTGGATGGGAAGTGGATATGAACCGGCACCCATATAAAAAGCACGTACTTGCAGGCAAAGGATGGCTCAATTGGCTAATTGAGCCATCGTGCCAGCCCAGGTCTTTTTGCTTTCTTAACAGTCTCTTTCAACTTGCAGTTTTTAATTTTAACAGAGATCCATTTATCAGCATTTTCCTTTCACAACTTTAGTATCATGTCTGACAACCTTTGCTTATCTCAAGGTTATAGAGATGTTTTTCTCTCACCTAGGTCTCTGCAACAGTTTAAATCAATGTAGGTATAAGGCAGAAGGTTTGGACCAATGCAGTACTTTTTTCTGCCCCTGTGACTGTGAGCAATTGTGCCAGAGGGTTAGATCTCTACACTCACATGCTGGTGGAAGTGGGTGTTTCACTCAGGGTGTGCACCACTGGAACAGTACAGCAGGTGGGATGCCAGGGAAGATATGCTGTGTGCTTTCTCTCTTAATGCCCACACTGCTCTCCATGTGCCCAGTCACTCCACGCTTCTTCTGAGTAGAGAAGTGACTGCAGAACACAGAGCTGCAAAACTGTGGACCCAGCAGGAAAACAAAAGGATTCTGGCACAGACAGAAGGCATAAACCTGCGGGCAGGTGTCTAAAGGAATGAAAGAATGCACCTCAGAGATCAGTGAGGAACTGTGCTGAGCAAGGAGCTCCCTATGCTCTCACTGCTCAGGACTCAGTCTCAGAGAAGAAGTGGGTCTGTGTCCAGGGCATGAGTCCCTGCACATCCAACCTCCCAGCACAGGGAGGGAGCAGTGGGCTAGATCCTAGCAAGACGCAAAGGCACTGACAGAGCACAGGGAACAGCAGGGCATGCTGGCATCCAACGAGGAGGACCCAGAGCCATGCTGCATGGGCCACATGCAGGACTCAGTGGGGGTACAGGTAAGTGCCAACAGGTCAGGGAAGTCCCTCTTTCCAGAGTTGGATGTTAGGTACCTACCTGTAACCAGAGCGCCGCCTCCCCGCCCCCAGGAGCACAGGGGCTCAAGCTCAACTCTAGCAGTAGTTCCAGTCACTAAAGCAAAGCTGTCTGGTCTTGCCCAATTTGAGTTCAAGTTTGGCTTGGGAGGCACACTCTGTGCCCTGTAGAAATGGCACAAGCACGAGGCAGGCTTCCCAAGCTGGTTTTCACCGGAGACGGCCAGGCAGACATAGGCCCCTGCACAGAGCAGCCCTCCCGCTGCTCCATCTCCACTTCACCAGCGATCATCTCATCATCACACCCTGATTTACATAAGATGTGCTCAGAAGCCACTCCATGAGGCTCTGGAACAACTCGGCTCCATGACGACTGACAGGTCTCTGCCAGATGGGGCTCTGAAGCAAGGGCGACTGAACCCAGGTGCTGAGTCGGGAACCGGGATGCAGCAAGGTGTGGTGCTTTCTGCAAAGCCACCCTATACCAGCAGACTGGACCCTCAGCACATTGCCCACCAGGCAGCCCTGAGGAGGGGTGTTCACTCACTAAGCCAAGAAGCTGCAAATGCCTGCCCACCCTCACTGCAGGGTCCAGCTGAAAACAGTGAGAAAAACAGAGTCCACGTTGGAAATCATCAACTATCACTCCAAACACATTTGTTCCATTAACCCTGCAAACACAGTCTAAGGCTTCACAATGGTCTCAGACACCTGCTGGAGGGCTGTGCTGGAGACTGCTGCTTAACAACACTTCCTGGCCTCCCGAATGAGTGCAAACTTCTGCAGGACGAATGCACTGCACCATGTCCTGCCCACTGCAGAAATGGAAGTCCATGTGGGGCTGTAAGCCACACACTTGACATGATGAAGGGCACTCTCTCTTCTGGCACAAGGAGTTCCTGATGATGGCATTATACTCCGGTGGGGGCTGAATAAAAGTGATTTGAGGAGGCTTACATGTCCCTAGAGAGGAAGCAGGCACTCATTTGCATTTATAAAGCATATTGAGAGTTCTGGCAGAAAGTTATGATAGAAGCACAATTAAATATTTACCATCACTTCTGCTCACAAACAGTGGCATGGGGACCAGACCAGCTGGAAGGGCATGTGTTGCTGTCACAGCCGGAGATGTCTCCAGGGTACACGACTCTGGCACCCACACCCACCGCCTGGCTTTGCCTTCTGAGAGCAATCACACACCATGCAATGGCAGAAGTCCGCAAGGGCCCATGCAGGGTGGACAGTGCAGAGAGCACTGGCGTGGACAAATGAGACACGAGTCACTCCTAGCATAGTGCACGGATGTGACCATGATCGTGTCCCATGGTCTTCTCCTGTTCTGCCTCTGATTCCCCTCAGTTTTCAAATCCACAGAAGAGGCCAGCGCTAGCCCATCTCCTACACTAAGGGGAGAAGTCTTCCTGTTACATCTTCAAGCATCCCTCTCCTTGGCTATGTAAATAACCTGAGAACACAGGCTCTAGATAAAGCCCATTAGGTGTCTAGAAGAAGTTTAGCACTGAAATATCAAACAATAGTCCATCTGCCTTCCCCAGACCCAGGGAACTAACAAACACATGCTGGGAATCCAGCAATGAGTAAGAATTGCTGTGTGCGCTCTAGAGAAATCCACAGTTAATCCTGTATCCTGTTCTGGCCAAGCCCATGAAGTAGATACTGGAAAGAAAAAAACCAAGGTACTGGACAAAATTAACTGAGCCCAGTCCAACAAGGAGAACAATACACTCACCCTGTGTGCAGGCAAAGGGAAGCCGCCTGTGGCCTTGACCATGACAGGCAGAATCTGAACAGCAGATTGTAGTTTGTGCACCTGTCCCCTGGAGTGGAGATGAGAGAGGCAGGGGTTGAAATGAAGACAAGTGGGAACTGTCCCAAGCAGAGGAAGGATGCGAAAGACAGCAATGGAGAGAGGAAGCCAAAGGGATTCTCTGGTAAGAAGTGGGTTGACTGGCAAGTACCCAAGAAGGATGGGGCTCATGCAAAGCCTGGCAGAGAGACCCTTCTCCTGGGACACAGTCTTCCTTAGAAGCCTCAGGACGGAACCCTGAGGGCACGCTGACCCACCTGGGGTTCAGTCCGAGCCTCCTGGAGGAAGGAAACCAAACACAGTTGCTGCCCATGTGAGCAGGTGGTTTCTCTTCCTTTCTGGACTGGTGTGTTTGCAAGTGTTGACACTGGGGGAGATGAGACACTCCTCACCAAGCAAGAGACACACACAAACCCTCCTCAGCCAGCTCTGCCCTTCTTTGGAGAGACATACGTCAGATATCCAGCTGATGCTCAATG